CTCTCCTTCTTGCGACCTGTCCAACGGGGAATGGGTGTACGATGAGAGCCGGCCGATCTACCAGGCCTTCAGCCGGCAAGAGGACTACCTTATGCCGAAGATGTATGGGTGCGCGAGACTTCGTAATCCGAAGCTTCAGCTCAACTTCGACAAATGGCGATGGCAGCCGCAGGACTGCAGTCTGCCCGAGTTCAACGGCGAAGACTTTCTTAATCGCTTGGTCAATAAGACGGTGGCCTTCGTCGGCGACTCCTTGGCCTCCGAGCAGCTGCTCTCGCTAATGTACTTGGTGGGCGCGACGTGGTCGGAGGCCAAGGACCACCGGCATCGCCGCTCGAAGCAGCGTCACAAGGGGCCGTCGGATTGCTGGGTGATCCCGGGGGGCCAAAAGGCAGCGCAGGAGAGACTACGAGCAAGATTCGCACGCACAACAGGACTCGCTGCGAGGTATCTGACCGCAAATGCGACCAAGTTCGGTCAAACGACCGGTGACGGCAGTGGCACTACCTCCTCAGGAGCGGCCAGACCAGGCGCAGGAAGGGCAGAGGAGGAGGGCGGGGAGGGCTCAACAAGTAGTAGACGACGTCTGTCAACAGATAGACGACTTGGTAGATCAGCAGAAGACGGACGAAGTGGAGGAGGAGGAGGAGGAGGAGGAGGAGAAGGTGGGGGAGAAGACCGGGATACGGACGAGCTGCCGCTTGTGATTCACAGTGATCTTACCGACTTTGGAACGGATCAGGAGCCGGGATCGGGACCTTATCCGGAACCGGGCGAGGCTCCGACTTGCCCGAAAATAGGTAGAAGACGCTGGAGCCACTGGTTTCCTAGCACCAACACCACCTTCGCTTTCTTCTTCACTCCATACGTAGTCGATCAATACCATAACGATAACGGATCTGCCATGAAGAAGACGAACTCCTCATCGTCGACACGCTCGCTGCTGCAGCAGGGTGACGGCCGCCATAGCTCGAGCTCGATCTCGGCATCGTCTTCCAGCACACTGTTGCCCCCATTGCCTCAGAAATGCGGTAAGGGGGGTATCTTAGACATTGACAGCCCGGTCGAATTCTTGAAGAAGAACGTCGATAGATTCGATGTGATTGTGATCAGCTCGTTTCATCACTGGCATGAGAGGTCGTTGATGTGCACAAGAGTGCACGCGGGAGGGGTCCCGATGGCCTGGTCGCCGGCCGAGTCTCGGGACCAGATGCTGGCGGCGATGGCCACGTGGCTGGACGAGAAGCTCGATCACGAACGCCAGCTGGCGTTCGTACGGTCCTTCCCGCCAAATCATTTCGTGAATGGAGCGTGGAACACAGGCGGGTCTTGTCATCACTTCACGGCGCTGATTGGACAAGAAGAGCTGAGGAAGTACGCCTTCGCGCGCAGAGACGAAGGAGCGGAGAAGGCGGTGGAGGGCACCAGAGTGCAGTTGTTGAACATTACGTACCTGAGCAGCTTGAGACCGGAAGCCCATCCGGCGGACCGCGATGAGAAGAACTCCACCGGGCCGCAAGATTGCGTGCATTGGTGCCTTCCGGGGATCCCAGACGTGTGGAACGAGATGCTGTACGCCAGGCTCGTGCTGGCGTCGCGGTCGAATCCACGCTGGCTGCCAGTTGCAGCCGGGAATGTCAGAAGGTGACTTCAAGCCTTTACCATCTCGACATTGTCGAGTAATAATGCACACACACACACACACACACACACACACACACACACACACAGAGAGAGAGAGAGAGAGAGAGAGAGAGAGAGAGAGAGAGAGAGAGAGAGA